GGTTTTTGTATGACTGATTCACTAGAGAATATTTGATTACGTCCATGTAATAATGATTATGCTTCGTATTTCTAGGTCAATATTGATAAAAAATGTAAACGTTCACAGCTCTATCATTCTTGTGGGCTCGCAAAACATGGAGTCAGGGCAATTTTCAAAGTCTGCGGCAGTAGCAGATGAAACGGTAGTTATGAAAGCCTGCAGAGCACGACTCATAAACCTGGAAACATCAGACAAATTGTCAAAGTATTATTTTACTTAAGAAGTCTACTTTTAGATCAGCTTTGTTGACAGAATTTTGTATCTTTTGATAATGAAGCATTTTTTGATTTGATTGTACCTTTCTAAAAATACATAGACTTATGGCAGTTAACAATTTCTCTGTCAGTCAACACTGCTCAGATTTCATTTATCTGTTGAGGTGAGATTTTATCAAACGACAAGGGATACTCTCTGCCAATTCCTACACAATTCTCATAGTCTGGGCTACTAAACAATCTTAAATGTTAGATCGGCTTCTCCAGTGTTTTCAAAAGCACAGAGTTATTGCTTAATAGTCTGATTAAGAGAGGATACCTTTGTACGTTATTTCTTAGGCAAAATTGTGATGATACGGTATAACTTACCTGGTTCTGTTTGACCACCGGTTCACCTCGTTTTATCATTTGGGTGAAGTAAAAATAAGCAGAGTCCTCTATTGGTCGAAAAATGAACCTGAAAACTGAGTATGTCTGTAATTAAAAATATACTCCCGAAAATATAAAAATTATTATTGAAATTGATGAAGTTTACAATTCTTTAAAAACATTTACCTTGCAGCTAAACTCCCCAGATTATTGACTATATCGTACATGGACTGCTGGCTGAAAGTAAGGAGAGGCGATACTGTCATAACGTATTTTTCACCTTCTGTCAAGACTTGCTTCAGTATCGATTGTTTCATGAACCCAAATGTGAGGAAACAGAGATTGGTATTCAGAATATTTTCCTAAAATCAATCAATATATTCAACCTCACTGCAGGCGATTGGCAAAATAGTTGGATTTTACGTGCCCATAACTTATACTCATTTAAAACTTGTGCAAAATGTTTGTCTTGATATTTGAAGTATTTTGAAAGGTTGAAGTTGTGATTTTCATAGCATGTTCACCACGTTCCCATAATTTCACGGGGATGGGTAAACGTGGTCCTTCAGTATGACTCGCTGCATTACCTGATATGACAGCCTTAGATTTTTGTGAGCATATGTGAAATCTAAAATTTATATTACATAAGTGCAGTCTATGCCAGAACTTATGGTTATAATAAGAGGTACTCCTAACGAAATTACCCCAGAAACAATTGAATGGAACTGGCCGATACTTGATGAAAATCCATATTAAAACTAATTAATACAGTTTATTGTATGATTTTCACTAAAACCCTTTATAGTGAAAATCTTATAATGAACTATAAATTAGTTTTTTTATCCTAGAAACATTCCATAATGAATTTGTAAACAAACTTGAATGGTGACTAATTTGAACATTTACCTTTCTATAATAGAAATTGAAGAAAATAACATACTTTTTTATCAAAATTATCTCAAATATTTTGACCATCACCCACATAACAGTTGTAATAATTAAAACTCTTACCTTATTGCTCAACATGCCTGGAAAAAAATGTAGAATTGATGTGAAAGGAAAATCACTCATATTTGAATATATATTTTCTGCTCTATTCTCATGTACACCTTCTATTCTGAATCTGTTGAGACCTTGGATATACCAGGCAAAAAACCCAAAGTACAACAAGAACATAATAACAGCAGACACTACCTGGGCAATTGAGAATGAATTTATCGCGTGTGATGGATTGGCTCTTACAATATATACAAAAATAAGAGTTCGAATGACTATATACAGGGTGTCTATAATTATCTGAAATGAAAATTAGCAGTGAAGCCTACATTTCCCATGTCTTCAACATTTATCAAACCTTTATTTTCACAAAACAAAAACTTTGGGCTACTAAAACAAACACTTGGGTCATTTGTTCTATTACACAGGACAGAGCAATGGCATAACATCCTAAAATATACTGTGGCCAGTATTTTTCATCAGTAGGAGAGAGAAGATTAATCCAGACGTAAGTCAGAATTAGACCTATTACAGCAGGTACTGGGATGCTGAAAAAATAGCACGAAAAGGATCTTCAGTTCAGGTTTTTCACAAAGAAGCTTAAACTGACAGCCAAAGATAAGGAGATGGTAGGTCCAAAGTGAGTGGGTGTATTCGACCCGCCACTGCAACACGCAAGGGTTTATTGTGGCACACAACTCAATCAAATAAAGCCAATTTCTCAATTTGTAAGTCTGGTCCTCATTGATAATGCTCTAAAGAATCACCTGTTAGAATTTAATTCAAAAACACTTTTATTTCTATTAAAGATCCTTTTGGGTGTAGAAATTGTGGCAACACATAAGAGTAAATCCAAAAGTAAAGTTATCGATAATAAAAATATACATCATATAATTGTACTCTATATAAAGATGTGTAGATCATACAAAGAAGTAACTTTTAGACACAAACTTGAAGACATAATCCTTCTAGATATACTTAAGTTGCTTGAAATAATAATGGGAGGCAATTTAATCCAAACTCGTTGATGCCTTGAAGCTAATGCAAGATATTAAATTTTTTACAGATTACCTATTCCTACTCTGGCTGCCAGTTTCAGTTTCATGTTTTCAATGTACAGTCATAAAAGTTGCAAAATGAAATGACTTACGACAGCCATATCTGATTGACAACTTGAGCCCAGTTATGGGACTTTGTACCAGTTAAGCATGCTTTTAATAGAGGTTCCTTGGATAGAAACAGAATCGTCGATTCTAACAAGGTCAGCCGGACGTTCATAATTCCTAAAACTTCTTGTCCAACGGTCCGAATGATGAAAGCATTTAAAATGAATGTTATTAATCTGAATAAAACCTGAAAATATATGAAATTCGATTACATACAAAAGTATTTACCGACGATAGGTACCTGAAATATAATGCTGAAGGAAGCATTCTCAAAGCTACTTTTCAATATATCTCTACCCATTTTAAACGTTTTGAAACATTTAAATTAAAAATTGAATTTCAATATGTGTGATTGTCGAACTGTCAAAAAACTTAGGTTAATGGTTGAATTTTGAATAGGTTTGTTTTGGTTCGGTCACAGAATCAATGCGCAGAACGTTACAGTTACAGAACAGTTCGAGACAGTTTCCACAAATAAAATAAACCAAAAGAAAAATTGTTTCTGGAACTGTGGCGTTGTCATTTAAACATTGAAATTGCAGATGAAGTAAGGATGAAGAATGGAGGGATTGCACATTTATACACAACATAAAGAAACAATTTCATTAGTGCGAATCGGAAGTTTTAACCGGTTCCTATTTCAATATCCAAAGTGATAATAACTGTTCTGGAATATTATAGAATCGGTTCTGAAAAAAACTAAACACATTAGAAACGGTAACAAAACAGTTCTTAATGAAGAAATGATAACCAAACTTAGAACCAAATCAAACCTTTTGTCACAATAGACTGTAGTTCTGTGACTACTTTTTAAATTCAATAAAAACATTATCATGGATTGCTCCATCCAATAAAAACGCACAATCACTTAAAAATGGACCAATAGAAGTCAATCAGTGGACTCAATAATGAATTAAAGAACAACTGGTCTACTGCGCCGAAGAGAAGCAAAGACAATAAAAAAGGGAAGAAGAAGAAGAATTGAAGAACAAGCCTGTGGCACAAATTAAATCTGAATTATTTAATCTGTGCCTGTGATAGTGAAATAGAGTAGCTATTTCTACGTACTACTTAATTTTTTCTAAAATAAGTTTTAAAAACTATGTTTTTCCATTAACCAGCTGTCGCACCCCTACGAACGACAACCCTCAGAAGTCGAAACTTGTGCGAGCAAAGGATTAACGAGGTCTTACCTTTTAACGTGTGATTCCTAATACGGAACATAACGCGTTCTGCTCTTTTGTATAAAGTGTATTTTCAAGTAATCACTTATGTAAAACCCTAACTTTCCTCGAATAAAAAGTAGTGTGACGAACTAATGATGAAATTCTGATACTTGTTGGTTTCATTACAATATTCATCAAAGAAAATGTCTGAATTAATTATATTTTATGTGTGATTGATAACTTGTTTATTTTGTGGCAATTCATGATCAATTTAATGAAATGAATAAAAACACTTGTCTAATTACCACTAGTTAATTTTATTTATATGACTGGTTTCCGGTTTAACCCCTTAATCAAGTATACTTGATAATGGTCCTAATACCTAATACAAAAAACCATATAATACCAACCTTTGATTACGAGAAAACGATAGAAGTGAATAGTTGCTCAATCAATTTGGAAATTATCTCAATTGAATCCAGATAAAGGACCAGGACCGGATGGAATACCAGCATTATTGTTGAAAAATTGTAGATTTGCATTGGCTAAACCGCTGTTGTTACTTTTTTCGGCTTCTCTTAGTTTAGGAGATTTTCCCATTGTGTGGAAATCTAGTTACATTACACCAATTTTCAAGTCCGGAGACAGAGCAAACATAAAAAATTACAGACCTATAAGCATACCGAGTGCAATACCCAAACTACTGGAACACATTATATGCGACAGCTTAAAGTTTCCCTTTAAGCAAATAGTCATTGATGAGCAGCATGGGTTTTCTCACGGCAAATCAACAAACTCCAATTTGCTATTATATTCTCAGCATATCTTGAATTCTCTGGAAAACAAACGGCAAGTGGACGTAATATACACAGATTTTTCCAAAGCATTTGATACGGTCAACCACAGTATCCTATGTGCAAAATTGACGGCAGTTGGTTTCTTTGGAAGTTTGTTAAGTTGGATCTCAAGTTACCTTTGTGACAGAACACAATTCGTGAAAATCAAGGGATTTGTATCTCTGTTAGCTCGGGGGTACCACAAAGAAGCCACCTGGGACCATATTTGTTCAATCTTTTTGTTAATGACATTAAAAAATATAAAAATCATTCTGTTAGGATATTGATGTTTTTTGTTAAATACTATTGTTTTTTCAGTGCACATATTTACTTTCAGCAGGTTTACTACAAGATTTTATTATGTTAAGAATACTATAAAAAGTTAAATTCAAATCAACTGCTAATTTCACTTCATGAACAATCTGATTTTCCATTAACCGGCTGTTGCTCCCCTCCTCAATGAAGGACAACCCTCAGATGTCGAAAATTGTGCAAGTCAAGGATTAACGAGGTCTTACCTTTCAAGGTATGATTTCTAGTGAATAAAAGAACGTAGAGAGGCCCAACTTTATTGTCATAAAGAAAATAACATACTTCACTGGATTATTGTCGTTTTGCTAACCATAGCACGTTTATTTTCTAGTTCTTCATTTTTCAGATGTAATTGCTTCAAGACCAACTCGGGTAGTTTGGAATTTTCTGGCCATTCATATTCTCCACAAGTCTTAATGGACAAAATTTCCGAATTTCTGTTCCAAAAGCTATCCTGTATCAAATCCTCATGCAAAGGTATAATAACCTGTTTCAACCTACCATGTTGGGGGTGTTTTACTCGCTTCCAGAGTAGAATTGTTCCCTTCTTGAACATTGGTGGTTCATTGTTGTAATTGATATTGAATTGGCTGAATAAAATTTCGTGTTTATCAGAAGAGATGGTACCACACAATTTTTGCTCGGCTTCGTTGTTAGTCAATCCTCCTTTCAGAACTAGTGACCAGAAAGTGGTATTATACAAGTTGTTGATATGACAATCGGCTTGTCTCCAACTCATATAATCCCTGAGGTTTTCGTCTGTCGGGTATAATACTATCCTAGAGTCAAAACTTGGAGGGTATTTCAGTTTCACATCTTCAAAGTAGTCCTTCCAGAAGAAAACGTAAGCAGACGTGAACAAGCTATTTATGTAGGTCATGAGTTTACTTTTTCTTCTGTTATAAAGAGAAGTGTCCTTTCTTATAACAAATGAATATTCGTCACTGTTTCCATACGAAATGGAAATATCTTTGTATTCTTGCATAACTGTTGCGGCAGCTCTATTCATCAACCGCAAGGCTCTGGAGTCGTTGGGTTTTTCAAAGTTATGCTTAGTAGAAAATTTATGGAACGATTTTCCGTCAACGCGAACGATGATCCAGCAGTTGGGTAAAATTTTTTCATCTTGCTCAAAATTTTTAACATACTCAAATTTACTGTTAGCCATTATTGTACAGTGGATATACTTTATTTGCTGGAAGAAGGGTCTCAGCAACATTAATCATTTCTTTATGTGTACCATTAAACTGAATTGAAATGAAAACATTAAATGTAGGTTAAGTATGTAAGAAACATAACCTCTTGCTTCTTTTTTGTTTTATATTTCATATTTGTCACGGCATCAGTTACTAGTAAGGTCTATCCAATTACACACAATGGTGTCGAAAAGAAATGATCGGTGATGGCACTGATAGAAAAAATCTATAATCGCTATAAGCTAACACTTACTTTCCACAAATTCTTGTGATATAATATTAATCAGAAAGTGAACTCTAATGAAATGATTTTTCAAAATTTGTGGAAAAATCACAAAAAGTAAGTGATAACTAACATCTTCACTATTAAAAGTGGTATTCAAGAGTTTTGTGAGATGTAAGATTTACAACTCATTTTTCGAATTCTAACTTCAACTCTTCCCATTTCAACTTGAACAATCTACCATGATGAAAAGATATTGTAATTGAGACATAAGAAGGCATAACTTTCTCCCTACCAATGTCTTTATTTAGTATACTTTATATAAAATTTATCTTGTGATATAACAATAGTTCTCTGTTCGTACTATGAATTCAGATTATGATGATTATGATGTATATTATTATAATATATCGAAAAAATACCCGAACAGAAAATAGGAAAAATGTAAGAGAGTAAGCCTGTTGGCAAACTTATGTGATATTCAGTGAACTTGGATGATTTTACATATAGGTAAATGAAATATTTCCAATTATGTATCAGCAAAAATTCAATTTGTTTCCCTTAGTTTTTCGTTGTCGCTAGCGCCGTTTCGCTAAAGAGGTCTCCTCGAATATTGGGAAGTTCAGCGTCTAGATGGAAAAACAAAAACAAAGGCCTGTAACCTGATTTCATATATTTTTGTAGTTTCTTGTACCCCCTGAGTGATATTGATCAATATTACTCATTCATCAGTTTCTCGTGTATATAATAAACACATTAAACATAACCTATGTCATTGTGATGGCTGTTTGGAACCTTTGGTGTAGTAATGAATAATCCTTGAGTTTTATCCCAACATCAAACCGTTATTTCAACACATCTACACTTGTTTCGATCATCAAGTGATTATCTTCAAGAGGAAGATTAATCTTCCAATCAATGGTAGAAATTCTTGTTTTTCCCAGTTCAACTGAGAAAACTATGTTTTCAGTCTATATTGTGCAGATTATCATAAATATTGCTGATGATTTTCACCAAGTGAGGGATCAGAGAATTCAGAACTTCCCTATACCTACTAGCAAACCTCAATTCAAGAGGCCAAGATAAATAAGAGGAAGAATAGGAATATCTCTCTTCCCTCCCTTTCTTTAAAATTGTCTAATTTTTATGAGTATGTTTTAGTGTTTTATTTTTCTTCTGTAAGAAGTGGAAATAATTTATAGAATAATGGATAATCCAAAGAGAGTGTCCGTAGATTATATCAATAATTCACAGAAATTTTCATCTCAGATACAGGATTATAACAAACAATATTGTAGTATATACCTAGCTAGGTTGAAAGAAATGGAAATTTTACTCAGAGAAAAAATTAACAAAGTCTGGGGTAGTAAATTTCCCATCGTGAAACTTCATAAATTATCTGAAGAAAATTATGAGAAATGTGTTGTTATTGGGACTTTATTCAAAGACCAGAAACTGAAACCGTCTATTCTTAAGCAGCTCATGGAGTCCAGTTTAATGGCAAGTCCAGTCCTCGACCATTTCACTGATGAAAGTGACAAATTATTCATCGAAGATGAAATGCAGAGGTTTGAGGTGTTAGGTATGAGTATATTCCTTCTTGAATTTTATAAATAAGAAATGGTATTGGAATATTCCAAACATAAAACGACATTCCACAGAAAATTTCCCATTGCAGTGGTCTTACATTTTATAATGAACTACCAGAATCCTTCGAACAGTTTCAGGATTGAACTTGTAAGCATATATATTCAAAAAACTTAAGTATTGTTCTCACTGAAAACTAACTGATGAATCTCTTAGGCTTTTGTTGAGTCTAGGCTATGATATGGTGTATGCTTCTGGGGAGCTTCTACATCATTAGATAATGTTTTTAGAGCTCAGGGTATTCCATTAAAGAAAAACAAGTTATAAAAATCAGAACAACTGACAACACTGAATTCGTCATCTGCATTTGGATCGATGTGTCATTTCTTTCTCCAGACACGTCTAATGGTTCACTGAATTTGGGCTTCCGTGTATGTGCTATGTATGCTTAGTGTTGAATAAATATCATTATTGTAGCTGTAAATAGTCCCATCATAACTATGTCTTTCTCTTCATTATATAGGAAATATTCGACCTCAAAACCTGGTTACTGGAATTACCTGCGCTTTGCTGGGCTCTGATATGGGCAAGGGAAAGTTCATGGTGGAGGAATGCTTATTTGCGAACTACAGAAATCAAGTTGAGAGGCCCTTGTTTGAAGACAGCGTATTTGTGATATTTATCAGTGGCATAGATTTCATTAATCATCATAATTTTCCAATCAATCTAGATCTGTTCAAGTATTGGATAAGTGGAATGCTAGGGGATGTCGACACAGTGTCCAAAATCGCCAGAATAATTATAGCTGGTAATAGCATAAGGAGTACCCCAGAAAAACGAAAGCCCACAATTTCTATGATAAGTCGTTGCACTGAACCAACAGAAACCATCGAAGCTGTAAAGTTATTCGACAACTTTCTCTCGTACCTCTGTGAGCTAGTGGATGTTGATTTGATGCCAGGCGAGAACGATCCCTCAAACCACATCCTACCTCAAAAAGAAATGCATCACTGCATGTTCCCGCAATCAGCTCCCTTCAGATCTCTGCACCAGGTTTCCAATCCTTATTTCTGTTCGCTGAATGGCACGAAGATATTGGGTACCTCTGGCCAACCTCTGAGAGATTTGAGTTGGTATTCGGACATAAGTGATCCTTTGGAAGGTTTGGAGAAGTGTCTTCTCTGGAACCATCTAGCACCTACAGCCCCGGATACTTTGGCTTGTTTTCCCAGTTACGACAAAGACCCATTCATTATTGACGATTGCCCTCATGTGTTTTTTGCTGGGAATCAGGCAGGATTCTCTACTAAGATGGCAATAGGTTTGTTGATGGTATTATCTAATGATAAAGGTGATAGATTAATTAATTTTTTAGGAGATGACGGACAAAAAGTACGGTTGATTGCCATTCCCGAATTTTCTAAGACTTTCCAGGTGGCTGTTCTAGATTTAAAGAACTTGGATTGTACCCCTATGATTTTCGATAAGTTATGAAATTTTGACTTTTACTGAAAGTGAACTTGTGATACAGACTTCCAGAAAGAGATTTTTTTCAGTGTACAACAACGAGAAATAATTTTTGCATGGAATTGTATAGAAATGTCAGTTGTCTTTGCTCAGGAACAGTATTGAATCTCTTCGTCATGAACTGATGATCCATAATGAAACTATTTTACCCTTTTTGCCAGTCAATATTAGTAATATGTCAATAAAAACAAATTACGATAAACAATATTAATTTCTAATTGAATTTAAAAATGAAATCTTGGTTCAAATACTATAAAATGAAACTGGTATCGAATATTTTGTTATAGGGAACAGTTGTATCTGTGAAAAATATAGAATATTTTGTTATAGGGAACAGTTGTATCTGTGAAAAATATACATTTCATTGAAAACTAGTTGAGTTTTGAGGAAAATTGGTTGAATTTACCCAGTGAACATGAATAATTCTTAAAATTTCGATATAAATTCCTGTACTCAGCTCATCATTTTATGATAAAAGCCCCTCATATTGAGGTATAAAGTTTTTCAATCATCTTCCCCCAAATCTGAGATAGTTACAAAATAAAAACTCCTCCAAATCAAAATTGAAATGATATTTGCAAGGTATATGTTATTATAGTATCAAAGAAATTCCTGGTTCAAAATGGAGATGTGTTTGCTTGTGCATATAAATAATAAATTTATGTTTTTATGTATATTGTGGAATTGGCCGACCAGATATTTTTCTCGAGAGAATTGGTTGAAGCTGGGATGATCCTACAACCGTGTTAGGAATCACATGTTAAATGGTAAGACCTCGTTAGTCCTTAGCTCGCACAAGTTTCTCAACTTCTGAGAGTTGTCGTTCGTATGGGGGCGACAGCTGATTAACGGAAAAACAGATTTTTAAACAGATATGTTTCTGTTTTGTTGATTTTTAATGTGTCTACCATGTCAATATTGTTTTCATGGTTTCTATTCGTGACGTATCCTATATTATGTTGTATGTGATCTGAAAGTAAATACACATGGTTTGTTTTTACGGTCAATGAGGAGTGCTATCTTGAAGTTATACAACGCTTGCAAGAAGCAATACGAAGTAAATGTCCGGTATTGTGGAAGAAAAATTTATGACTTTGCATCACGATAATGCACCTACTCACTCTTCATTGCTTGTTCGTAATTTTTTGGCCAAAAACAACACCGTAATCATGTCTCAGCCACTGTGTTCACCAGATTTGGTCTCCTGCGACTTTCTGCTGTTCTCAAGATTGAAGAGTCCCATTAAAAGACGGCATTTCGTGACGATTGAGGAGAAAACCAACAACTCAACAATTTCAAGCATTTATTTACTTTGTGGCCGTTTTCTAAGGAACTAGACTTCTCAGGAACCTGAAATCGAATATGGGAAACATGTTAAATGCAATAAGTTATTATACTACCCCCAGTTTGACCAACATACTTTTTATTGCAATTCTTACAGCTCTTTGCGTAAATCCCAGACTTTTCTGTAATCTTGTCTTTCGAGTTGCCCAAAACAAAGAGTATTGAAACCACTTTCTTGTTCAAGTTTTCAAAAATTCCGACCAAACCATGGGTGTGTTTTGGTTCATCTTTCTGCGAAGTTGAGAATTTACGAAGAAGTGCTCTAAATTTTTCCCTAATCAACTTTTTTTCCTAGGTTTGAAGGATACCGATTACTTTCTTGCAGTGGCAATTCTAAAACTTAAGGCCAGAGGGAGGGCACACTATAACTAGGCGCCAAGATTCAGTAAAAAGGCACAAGTATTTTCCATTAGGTAAAGAAATAATATCACAAAACTCTAATGAAAGAAATATTTCAATAGTAAACAGAGCACTATCAAAAAAACCAGCATACAAAACATTTTATTACCTCTTGGAGAGTAAACTAACCATTCACGTAGGCTTCGCTGTCTAAAAGTTGTTTTTTTAAGTTTGTACCAAGAAACGTAAAATTTTCTGTAATTGGAAACTGGAAAGTTTTGGAAGTCAGAGATCAAAATAGTATTTTTGAATAAAAATGGATCGACGACAAAATTGAAATATCATAAAATGATTCATGTAAAAACAAAATGTATTTCCCACCTTCATTCTCAGCAGACATCTTATCAGAATCGTCTTGTTTTTGAGTACTATTACTATCCGGATTAAAATCAACTTCCGTGAATGTTAAATCAGCAAAACTAATGCAAAATCGGATTTTGTTCTTACTTTATAGGTTGATGTAAATGGAACATCAAAAAACGTTGACTCCGTACTCTCCGTAGTATTAGGTTTATTTGGAACACAACTTTGAGTTTGAATTAATTGTTCTTTTGTTTCTCTGTAAATGTATACATATATACATATACCATAATGAATACAATTTCGGATCTTCAACTGAATTGAAAGTTTTACAAAAATTTTATTTTGTTTGAAAATGTGATGTAGCAGCTTATTTCAACTTATTCTTTTCACGTAACTTTCGTTAATGTGCTCGACAAACTGTTTATTCGTCGAAATAACAATAACAAACCATACTACTACTACTGCTACGAGTGCCACGCCGAGATACAATCAATTTCCAATCTCTTAGAAAATATTCACATTAGACAGCGAGCGATATGGGATTCACAACTGATCGAGGTATTGATAGCGAATGTTGCCACTTTTATTGGTTTTCCGTGTTATGTACCTAATAATAGATTTGAGAAATAGTTAAAATCGGAAGGTCGCTAACAACATTTTGTAGAGGGCAGGTGGGGCATACTGCCCCTCGGTCTCGCCGCCACTGCTTTCTTTATATATTTTTATGTGATCTCATTCCCACTGATACATAGTCAACAACAATTGAATAGTATAACAAGTTACTTTAAATTGGTTTATTTAATATTTTATCAGTAACAAAAAGTATCTATCACATAGATTGATAAGCGACATCTGTGTACTTATTCCTGGTCACTTAGCAAATGTTAGCTTTCTTGAATCTCTCCGAAACGTCTTTCCAGTTGACAATTTCGAATATGGCATTAACATAATCAGCCCTAACATTTTTATACTGCAAATAATAAGCGTGCTCCCAGACATCTATTCCCAGTATGGGGACCAATCCAGTAGTGGCCTCTAGTGGATCCTGGTTGCTGCACGTAGAGATTCTAATCATTCCTTCAAAAATCAAAAACTGTTACAAAAAAAAACTACGAAAACAAACAATTATTTGCAACGTCTATAATTTTATGGAACATACAACAAATAACATTCTCAAAGACTTGCCTGTGCTCTTATCGTAACCCAACCATCCCCATCCAGAACCTTGAATTGCAATTGTTTGAGCTGCAAGTTGTTTCTTCATGTTTTCGATTCCTCCAAAGGAGCTGTCGAGAGCCTTACACAGTTCAGGACTTGGCTGAGATGATCCAGGGCTGAGATTCTGCCAAAAAATTGAGTGATTGAGATGCCCTCCTCCATTGAATTTGATTGCAGGTGCAAGAGCAATTTGGGCACTATGGAAAGTAACTTGTCAATTTTTGTTAACACAAATAATAATAATATAGATTACAAGGAACAATGAATGAATTGATAATCTACAGTTCAATGTAAATAAGATATCTTTCAAAAGTGATGGTAGTAGTGTTGTTTTTAAGTAAATTGATGGATGTAACCGTTACTACGTGGTAGAAAATCATAATGAAGAAAAAAGAAATGAAACTTTCTATGTGATAAAAAAACATAGAAAGTTTAATTTCTCTTTTCTTCATTGTTTTAAAGTATTTATCCAAATGGATTTTTGAGTTGCCAACATCTGATATCTAAACTCAATTCCTTGAAGTTTGTTTTTATGAATTTAAGGTCGTTATTGACTAGAGCTCTGTTATTAAGTATCTACTATGCTCGTATAAACTCTAGAATTAGGCGTTTGTTTCTGGGGAGGGTCAACTTCACCACAAAATGTCTTCATTGCACAAAAGCGCATTATATGATACCTGGCAAATATTTCCCAAAGAGATTCTTGTAGATAGTATTTCAAAAAATATACTTAAACTCTTGTTCAGTTTATATATTTGACTTAAATGAAATGAATAAAAACACTTTTGTCTAAATAATACCACTGGTAGATTTTATTTATACGACTGGTTTTGGGTTTGACCCTATTATCAAATATAAAACTTGATAATGGGGTAAAACCCGAAACCGGTCGTATAAATGAAATCTACCAGTGGTATTATTTAGACAAAAGTGTTTTTATTCATTATTTTATTAAGTGATCATGAATTACCATAAAGTAAACAAGTCATCAATCACACATATTATATATTTGAAATGTTTGTATATCTGTTAAAAAATAAGTTTTGAAATGTTTGTATATCTGTTAAAAAATAAGTCAAATTTTCACCACCACAATATGAGAATCAAAAACCAGTTCCACGTGTCAATTGCAAAATTAAAAGTGACTTATTCTAGGCCAGAATACATTGGTCCAAAAATTTACAATAATCTTCCTGAATATGTGAAGGCTTCAAAGCAACTGTATAATTTTAAACAAACACTGAAAGCATATCCGTTAGAAGATTGTTATTATACACAAGTAGATTTTTTAAAATCATTAGGTCTATTCGCCTATTTAATTTTCATAATTGACTTTTAGTATCTTTATTGTGTTGACAGTTTCCTATTCAACTTAATATTGTCTTTATGGAAACAAAGTATTATTTTTAATAATAATACTCTATATTTGTACATTGTTTAATATGAAAAAGTGTAACGATTTCAGACTAACTTTCTTGAAATTCCTGAATCGATTATGGTTCTAATTCTCCAAAAAAAAATCTTCACAAATTTTTTTCAATATTTTAAGGCTTTCACAAGGTTCGATATTTTGTGAAAATTCTATTAAAAAACCTAATTGAAGCATATGATGGATGTTTTTCTGAAATAGGGAAACAAATATTTGTACTTCAAAAAAGATATGTATGATTTGTTTTGTATTCCAATAAGTAAACTACACATTCATAAATGTGGAATGTATTGTCTTTGTACAATTTTCTTCAAATATACCCCGATAGGACTGAAGGTAGTTAAGCATGAAAATAGTTCTTATAGACAAGAGGTGAAACTGGAACCTTTGGCATGGAATACATCCAAAAACAAACACTTTTTCCAATCACCAGAACTTCAATACTCTTTTCAATGCATGTTTCACTAACTAAGTTGACTTCTTCAGTTTACTTCATCTGAAAATGTCAATTGGGTTGGTGAAACGCACATCAAGAATAGTATATTTCGGTTCTGGTGTTGAGGAAAAGTGCTTGTTTTGGAGAGTTCCTATTACTTTTTTTGTATTTTGAAAATATCAGAGAAGAGATAGTACTGCAGGAATCCCAAATTTTGTGGAAAATTAACTTTGCTGTATATATGGCTTTTAATGATTTTTGTTAAGAAAACTGCTAATAATCTTTACACTTTGATAGACTTGATCAAGTTTTTTCCAGAAGTTTTTAATATGTATATATCAATGTAGATGCTCGTTAATAGGAGTACCAAAAAGTTCTCTTGAGAATTGTAAATTGATGTCTCTGTTTGCTAAATGAACTGTTTTTGGTGTCTCATTTTTTTAAAAAATGATTATTATTAAGACAACCTTGTTTTTGATCAAGTATTGAGGTTTAGGCGATTTTGGTATTAAATCTTGATATATGCCGCTAGAAACCATCACAATTGTTGGGCCAGATTTTTTTACCTAACGTCTCCTTTCTCAACAGCAAGTTTCAGTTTTTCTTCGGCCGCGTTGAGGTTGGTTACATAAGTCTGATGATGTTTACTATGATGCAAACTCATGATATCTCTAGAAATTATCGGCTCCAAAGCAGCATAGTCATAGGGTAGGTCGGGGAGAGTGTGTTTGGATCTTGCATTTCTGAAATGATTCAGTTAGCTGGGATAACTGTCTTAACAGTTATTAAAACTTACCGGATTGCAAGACTCGCTGCTTGCCGTAGGGAGAACATTTTAAATTTTAAAAATCAATTCAGTGACCTCTGTACCCTCGTCTGACCTTATTGTTCTTCTACCAACTTTCAACTTTGAACCATGTTAGAGGTTAGGAGGGAAATTTGAATTCGAAGTGGACATCGTCGTAAGGTGACAGTGTCAAACTCAAGGAAAATAAATAAAACGTAATAATGACATTTTATATTGTAATTCATACAAATTATCACGTTTATTCTAACAAAAATTATCTGAAAGTACTTGTTGTGAAATACGGAAGCGTAGAAGGGCCACATATTTTCATTATTTGTTTCTTGGAAATTACGACTTCAAAACTCGAGATTTGTTCGTCTTTCACTGCAAAGCGACTAGTTGTAAACACAAATAAAAGATACTTCATTGGCTCTGATTTATTTGAAGTTAATAATGATACATATACAGGGTGTATCAATCATATGTGGGTGGGCGATAGTTTCTTCCCTAATATACAGAGTGTCTAATAAATGTGTGACAGACCAAACTTATGATTTTTAAAAATAGAATACTCCAGACATTATCACTCAATTGAATTTCTTGGACAGAGTGTTTCTTGAAAATGTAGGGTTATTTGGGTTTACAACGGGGGATTCAGAAGTTATTGTGAAATGTATGCCAAAAAATTGGTTCATTCAACACCAAAATCTCCTGCTCGATCAGATGGAATAAGGAAAATGTTCAACCAATATCACTTGACACAACAGTTCTAAGGATCAGTCATATAGTAATTGTCAGATATTGTCGAAGAGAAAAATGTTTGCTTTTGCCAGTCTATTCTGAAAAATCACATGTGTCACTATTCTGAACCGTCTTGGAATGTCCGAACTGCCAATCCGAATACACCTTGAAACTAACTGATTGAGGCTTTAACTGATTAAAGTGCGGTGTCTTTTTATTCGCTAGTTAGCACATCAAGCCATAATCTAGCATACCTTTTGCTAGTGACTAGTCACTTTCTTCAAATCCCAGTTTCCTTTTCGGCTTCACAAGACTAGGGTTCTGTGGTTCAATAACAGAATAGTAAATTATTCTGTGGTTTAATTTAATTACAGATTACGATTACAGAACAATGTTCAAGAGGGAGGGCGCAAAGTACACATGTACACGTGACAACGTTTTGAACAAAAATAAAACATCAGGGGCTGTTTTGGCTGTGAGTTTAAAGGTAGATAAGGCAGTTTTCCGAATTTTCAAAATGTTTTCCACCCTTTCAAAACCAGTTACAAATATTTTTAGATTATCTAGTGAGTTTTGAATTGCATGTTTTGTTATCTATTGAAATTGAACCTTTTCCAGGTCATAAATTGAATTCTTTACTAAGAATGTCTTCGAATTCTGCTTTACAGACGTTGTCTGTATCAGTACCCAAAGAATTTGTTTATCATGTTAAACTTAACAGACCTGAGAAAGTAAATGCAGTAAATCAACTTATGCTGTCGTAAGTATCAAACTGGATTTTCTAGTTAAAATAATAGAATTTTATGGGTCTCAGAACATGTTGAATGAAAAGTAGATTTTGTATAAGTGAAATTGAAATTTGTTTCATTGTTTAAGTAAGAATTAGGTATACCTATATATTGAGGAACATCAAATGAAAGTGAAATTTTAGAAAGTGTATAGAGAGATAAATAGCGTAAAAGTTGGGTTTTCCAGAATATTTCACTGTTACTACGAAAAAATATCCTGGAAATTATGCCTCTACTTAGTTTACAATAATATTTATACTTTATTTATGTTTTATTATGAGTGAACAAAGTCGGTCAAAGTTATTTTTTCAATATTTTACTTTCATGTAGGAGAGTAGTGTTATTATACTTATCTTAATTTCAGAGAATTAAAAAAGTGCTTCTTTGAACTGAGTGAAGATGAGAATTGTAGAGTAATTGTGTTATCTGGAGAAGGAAAACTATTCACAGCAGGTAAAAGAAATAAATTGACCTACAAAATTTTCAATTTTTTTTTTCTTCTTTAGGAATAGACCTTACCAACTTCATCGGAATAGCCTCAAAAGTGGCCCAAACAGAGGATGTAGCTCGTAAGGCCAAAGTGTTCAACAAGACTATTGTAGATTTCCAAGAAGCTATATCGTCCTTAGAACTATGCAGAAAGCCTGTTCTCGCTGCTGTTCACTCCGCATGCATCGGGGCTGGTGTTGATTTGATCACTGCCGCTGATATGCGGTATTGCACAAAGGATGCATATTTTCAAATAAAAGAGGTGATTATATTAATTACACATAGCAATCATTGGAGTTCTGTTTTTGATTTCGAAAGAGCTTTCGAGATCATTGATTTAAATCCATTGAACATTTTATAGTAGGCATACCTAGTCTCTTCATAATATTTATAAATGATATACTGCTTGTCAAATTTAGGAAGAGACTTAAGAAATCTTTCTCTCTCTCTCTCTCTCTCTTTCTCTCTCTCACTCCCACTGTCTTCTAATGAACGCAGATCTAGTGAGCGGGGCTATAATCGATTTTAGAAAGCTCTTCCTACATTTGACAAGCTGTAGTCAAATACATTATGAATTATATAGTTAAATTTTTGCGGGACTAGATGATATTCAAGATGGGTACAGGATAATGGTTTGAAATAAAATATTGGAAAAATAAAATTTATGTTTTGGAGAAACAAACAAATGTAAAAATTTTCATTTATATTAGTGAACAACATATAGAAACTAATAATTATTGGGTCTAGTTATTAATGAATATTTAACATTTAAAAAACATGCTCAAATAAATTGATCAAAATCAATTTAATTAGTGGAATCATTAGAAATTTTTTTACTGGAATGATTTGTTATGCTATAGAAGTAGTATTATAATATTTCAATTGGAGTGAACTTTTCAAGGTAGATGTTGGTTTAGCTGCCGATGTCGGAACTTTACAAAGGTTGCCCAAAGTCATTGGTTCAGACAGTCTGGCCAGAGAATTGTGTTATACGGCAAGAAAAATGCATGCAGATGAGGCTTTGAACTCTGGGCTAGTATCTCGAGTATTTGGGGATAAAGATGAGTAGGTTCAACTTCATTAATTTAATAAAGGACAATGAAACGAAATTCAAAAAATATGTTTATTTCTTAGGATGGTAAACGCTGTGGAAGGCATTGCTGAAAGCATTGCAAAGAAAAGTCCTGTAGCAGTTCAAAGTACCAAAGCAAGCCTCGTCTTTTCCAGGGATCATTCCGTACAAGAAGGACTGAATCATATTGTAAGTTTTACACTGATTACTTTTCTTCAAGAATTTCAACATAATTTTAAATTATGAATACACTGCTTCTTTAGGCGTGTCTATACTAGACTATATAGACATGCCCGAAGAAGCTTTTGCATTGCAAAATATGTGTTGCGTTTTTGTAAAACTGTTTAGTGAATGCCACAATGAAGTGTTTCTTGAATATCCTAAATTCATAAAGAGTTATGTTTGAACCACCGGACAGGATTAATCCTATATGTATTTAGCTGTTTGTTCAGTCGATCTGTAAACAAAAAAAAAACAACGTGTTAACTTCGTAATTGAAAATTAAATATTGAGATTTTACATCAAGACATCCACAACTACTTTTAGGTACAGAAATATAAGAAAATGAATATTTTGAAATGAATTCTTGAAACATTTACCAGAACCTACACAGTAGGTAGGCCTACACAGAACCTACACAGTAGGCATTTACCAGAACCTACACAGTAGGTTCTGGGGAAGTGGTGACAACAACCACTTCCCCGGCTAATAACCCGCTGGATATTGAATTATAACCAACGGACATTAATGCAAAATACAGATACAGAGGTTAGTCGTGCAGACTATAGAAATATTAGTTGATACTGAATATTAGTAATATTAGTTAATACTGTAGTTTCAATTGTATGTAAAACAAAATGAAGCCAAAAATGTCTTGTAGACAAACTTGACAAGGAAAAATATGTTGTAGGTCTTTTCATTGAATTTTCAAGAGCTTTCGACTTAGTCAATCATAGGCTTTTATGTAGTAAGTTGTTGGGACCACTACTCTTCTTAATATTCGTCAATGATATGCCCGATCATATCACGAATGGACAGTCAGACGATTCTTTGGTGGTGGCCTCTCCTCCTGAAGGAACTGGAAAATACTGTAAATGAAGTCATGAACTCTTTCAGAAATTGGTGCAATGCTAATAATTTGATAGTGAACATTGTAAAAACTGTATATGTTCAATTTAAGTGCAGAAGAAACAGTTCCGGTTCTTCTCTTGCCGTAATTCAGAACTCAGAATCGACCAAATTCTCAGGACTCCACTTAGATCAATATATATCATGGGACAACCATCTTCAACACATACAAAAAAATAATAATTCTGGATTTTTTGTATAGCAAAGCTTCAGTATATGAAGCTAAAAAAATAATGAACAAAACCGCTCTATTGGACATGTACTATTCACTAGTATACTGCCCCCTCTCACTTTTTAAGTCACTCAATGGGGAGATTGCACTAATGCTGAAAGAATTTTTGTCTGCCAAAAACGCATACTGAGGCTTATGTTCAGTATGAAATCCGAAGATAGCTGCAAGACTATATTTATTGACAACAAAATATTGACTTTTCCATGCATATATATCTATAAAACATTAAGTTATGTAAAAGAAAACATACATTCATTCAAGAGAAACTCATCCTTTCATAATTATCCAACAAGAACTGCAAATGAATTGAGCGTAACTCAACATAAATTAACAAAATTTAAAAAAAGTCCAGGATATGTCGGAGCTAAGTTTTTTAACAAACTACTGAGCAGCATACATAACATACAGAACATACAGAAAGTACAAACAAACAATAAAAAAAATGATGTTGACAAAAGCATATTATTCGGTTAGAGAATTCCTCAATGACTCGTTAGACTGAATCAGTCACAACGACCATTAACATGTACCATTATATATTATATTTTTTATTTTTAGCTACCTGTTTCTAAGTGTATTGTCAATTTGTGTGTGAGTGTAAAACATGATGTGTTTATCCATCTTATAGATGGCTGCTGTTGCAATTACGAATAAATGAATTTGAATTTGAATAATCGTATGGAGTTCGGGGAAAACCGCTAAAATTATTTGAATCATATTTAAATGGCAGAAGTCAGGTTGTTAGATTGAATGAAGTTCTGAGTAGTTACTGTGAAATAAATCTAGGTGTACCTAAGTGATTCGTATTGGGACCTTTATTGTTCAATATACTTGTAAATGATATAATCAGTCTAATGGAAAGAAACCACGATATAAAAATAGACGTTATGCAGGTGATACCGATTTACTACATTTTGAAAAAAGCATAGACATGCTACTGAGTCAAACTGAAAGGATTTATGAAGATATCATTCGGTGGTCTGAAAAGAATTGTCTGTTGCTGAATCACAACAAAACAGTCACATTATTTTTTGGGCACTCCGAACAAATATCACCTGTGTTATTCAAAAATACAGAAAAACAAATAACTTTTAGTGATGAAGTGAAACTTTTGGAAGTAATTTTCGACAAACATCTGCAATGGGCAAGTCATATAGAACTATTGTCTAATAAGCTGAGAAGTAGTTGCTACAGCATAAAGTATATGAAAGACCACTGAAGCAAAAATGTCTTGCTTACGCTGTACACATTTCCATGGTATACTGAATTGGGGTAACAGTGCTGGTATGAATCGGATCTTCATCCTTCAAAAATACGCAATTCAAATTATGGAAAGTATTGATATGAGAACCAGTTGTCGTCATTACTTTATAACTCTTGGTGTATTAACAGTTTACAATTTAAATATACTGGAAGCTTGCACTTATATCGATAAGAATAAAAATAAGGTTGCAATAGATAACAATCATTGCTTTAACACCCATCATAGAAATTTCTTGCAGCCTGACTTTCATTGCACAACTCTGTACCAAAGAAATTTTTATTATATTGGTTTTGAGCTCTATGATATTCTTGATGATCATATAAAATCATCCCCTAATGTTCATATTTTTAAATCAAGGCTGAAAAAGATCCTACTTCGTAAGTGTTGTTATTCCACAGACGATTTCTTTTTATGATAATAATTTTTTATTTTCAAACTATATTATTAATGTTTCTTATATATACATGTATACGTAAATTTGTAATTGTTGACATGTCCTTGTTCAATGTAACAATGTAACTGAAATATTGACGTTTTTAATCATTTATGAAACCTTTTGTGCAAATGATGTTTTGTACATTCAAATGATGAAATGAAGAAAGTACCAAATATTTTCATTATTGTTGTAAAAAAACGGAAAAGAATGTAAAGTACCATAAGTTTTTATTCATCATTTTTCTATTTTTTACTCAATTGATGGTATCATCTTGAAGTACGCTGTCTGTTCCAAAAATAAGATGAGTTTTAATTTTTCTCAAAAAATATTTATTTATTCATCAATTTCTATTTTTTCTTTACAGTAGTCCCCCTCAGATGAAATACAGTTGAGACAGCGTGAACATATATTGGAGACGAACAGTTCACATACAGTAGTAAATGATATCTCATTTTACCACAAACGCAAATACGAGTATGGAACTCCTAGAGCAGTTTTTTTTTATGAGCGGAACTCAAAATTCCGCCCAACAATAACTGTATTCAGCAGTTATTGTTGTGGTTAACTCTTTACTATGAAGTTGGTAATACTAAATACCAGATGGTCAATTAGCTCAAACTTTTGTTATGAAGCAACATATGTTCTGGTTCTCCGGATTAAAAACCTTATTAAAAATAGCTAGAATAAAAAACATAATGAACATTACTACGGGGTGGCTCATGACATGAATAATTACCACTAGTTGATTCTATTTATTCGACCGGTGTTGGGTTTGACCCCATTATCAAGCATAAAATTCGGTTATATCCGGAGTTTTTATGTAAGATGTAAGGACAGGTATTTGAAAGTCAGGTAGTTGGGCGAACCAGGATGCCAACTTTAAAATTCAACACTGAAAATTCTAGGGGTTGTTAAACTTATAAATTCAAGAGAAGAAGACCTACATAAATCGAGGTGCTCATTTAGGGGTATATATTTCTGGTTTTCAATTGATTTGTTAATTTCCATGGCTTCCAACAAATTCATTTTTTTACCTTTATTACATATGTGTAGGATTTTGAGGTTATTTTATACCGGTTTGGCAGAGCACTCGATACACTCTATTCTATATATACCGGATTCTTTTATTCCATCCCGTTTGGGTTTTGCATTAAACAGGGTTCTACCTAAATTATTATTACTTATGAAATCTGTTGATGTATGTTGTTGTTGTATTTAGAGAAATAATTTTGAATATTTTCTAAAAGTTCACCTGAGTAGTTGATCTGTTTAAAAAAAATCTGTTTTTCCGTTAACCAGCTATAGCACCCCTACGTACAACCCCCAGAAGTCGAAACTTGTGCTAGCTAGGGACTAACGAGGTATTACCTTCTAACGTGTGATTCCTAGCACGGGTTGGACGATAGCAAGTGAAAATCGATCAAGCCTGGGGCTTGAACCACCGACTAACACGGTGGTCGATTTGAGTGAGTGAATAAAGCACCCATGTCGAACAGACCGGCTACCGTATAATTTACTCATACCCAAACTGCCGAGAACACAATATAGTCAAGTATAGTAGCATCAACTACTCAGGTAAACTTTCAGAAAATATTCAAAATTATTTCTCTAAATTTATAAGTTCAACAACCCCTAGAATTTTCAGTGTTGAATTTTACAGTTGGCATCCTGGTTCGCTCAACTACCTGTCTTTCAAATACCAGTCCTTACATCTTACATAAAAACTCCGGATATAACCGAATTTTATGCTTGATAATGGGGTCAAACCCAAAACCGGTCGAATAAATAGAATCAACTAGTGGTAATTGGAGAAAAGTGTTTTTATCATTTAATTAAAGTGATATGATATATTTGTATGATAATATTAATAGTATTGGCAATACTATACTAGATGTCACTGTTTTTATTTTTGGCTGGACTAACTTCAAAATCTGAATTAAAAGTATGATAAGAAAATATTGAAAAAAATTTAATTTATTTCAGGCATTATGGAATCAAATGAATCTACAGAGCGAGGATTTAACTCAATCAGCAATGGCCCAAATGACGAAAGACAAAAATGTTGTTTTTTCCAAGTTATGAGTAGACAATTTATTTTAATGTCTTCTATAGGAAAACTATTTTGTTTTTGTTTCTGTTATATAGACAGTTTTATATTTTATGGTAACTACACAGAGTTTTCATAGGCAAACGTTTGACTACAAATAATTTTTTTACAATTTTCTAAATCAAGGAGGGGAAGTGATTTTTTAACTCGACGTTTTCATTTGAATTTTATGTAAATTAGGATATTTCACAGCTTTCTACAGAAGAGAAAGTCTAACATCATTTCTATGTACTTTATGTGTTTGTGGCCTTATGCATAAATTTGTGATATATCTCTACCTAACTAATAAAGGTAAAATTGGTACCTCTAGTGTAAACTAAATTTAAAAACGAGCACTTTTCTCAGTCACCAGAAATACAATACTTCTTCTTGACCCGCATTTCACCAACCAAATCAAAATCTTCACATTAAAACTAATTCCTAACAATGGGACCTTTGTCATACCACACTTTGCTAATTCCAGACTGTCGAAAGCATCAAGAAATCTAGTGTCACGTCCGATCTCCACAGTTCAATTCAGTTTCATTTCATTCTATCGGATCAAATCGGATATGTGGTGTGTTTTCATTGAAACGAGTTTCAATGGTTCGCTTAGTTTGACCAATATATTTTTGTCACAGTCCTCACAGTATTTTTCATATATTCCCCACTTTTCATTTTCCAACATCTGGTCTTTATGGTTACCTAACATGTGCTGAAGTCGGCAAGAAGTTTTAATGACTATTTTCACGTTCAACTTTCTAAAAATATGATCTAAACTGTTAGTGCATCTAAGTTCATACGAAAAGGCAATAAACTTTGAATCCATGTTTCTTTGTAAGATAAAAATTGAGCCCAATTCCAGAGTTGGGAATTAGTCTTTTGCAATGCCTGAAGACGCCAACTTAGTTGGTGAAACGGAGTCGAAAAAAGTATTGTATTCCTGTCGTTTCTTTTTGTATCTACAACAAAATCATTTCCATTGTGAGTAGACAAAAACCAAGTTCCGAAAAGAAATCCAACTTGTTCCCTAAATGACTGAACTCCACTAAAAAATTTATTCAAATAAATTATCAGGTAATATACTGTGTTGCTTTTCAGAAAATGTCCTCTACAGTTCGTTACTTTTCACGTTAAATCCGCTGTTTCTCTCAAATAATCGGAAAGGCTTCGTGGAGGGGGAGGTGGAGGTGGTTTTTCAGCTTCGATTTTATCAGCCAAACAATAAATATTGTTATCCTCAGTCGGTTCGTGCTACAAAATGTCTGGTTGAATATCAAAATAAAGGTTGAATTGGAGAATTCAGCCTCTCACGGTCGGTGTAAGTGTGTCAAAACTTTTCTTCGGGTTTCTTGACCGTTGCCTGCATAATTTTCAACCAGACGTTTCGTCTACAATTGCGGTATACTTTTTCAAAGGCGATGTGACAACAGGCACGGTGCTCTAGTTTTCTTCAAAGCACATTAAGTATGGATCTTCATGCAGCACGTACTACATTGTTTTGGGTTTGGGTCTCCGGTTTTATTCCAAATGCCGTTTTTTCCGCATATTCATTAACACCAAAAATATCGAGTAAATGTTCTTGCTTTTTGTGTGTGTGTGTGCGTGTGTGTGTGTAGCGTTTGAGAAAAAACATGACAGTTTAACGGGGCTCTATCGTTTTAACGTGGGATTCTTCATTGTGTACAGGGTGTTTCAAAATACGCCATTCAAGAAAAAACATGACAGTTTAACGGGGCTCTATCGTTTTAACGTGGGATTCTTCATTGTGTACAGGGTGTTTCAAAATACGCCATTCAAGAAAAAACATGACAGTTTAATGGGGCTCTATCGTTTCAACGTGTAATTCTTCAATGTGTATAGGGTGTCTCAAAATACGCCATTTAAAAAACATGGCAGTTTAACGGGAGTGTAGCGTTTCAACGTGTGATCCCAATGAGAAACGATTTTATATTCAGAAGTGTTGTAGAGTTAACGTTTGAAAACGGGGCAATGAGGGGAGCAGAGTATTCAGCAATGGCATTTGAAAATACGTCGTTTTAAATGCGTTTTTTCGTTGGCATTGGGGGGAGGGTAATATTATTTTTCTTGAAAGAATGTTAAAATAACACAACAAAGTTTTTGTCTCGGGGTTGAAATTAGATGATTTTAATGTATTTCCACGTGTTAAAACCGAAAGTGACCATAAAAATTATATATTAGCTCTTGTTTTCAAGATATAGTATCATTATATTATATATATATATATTGAGTTTTCAACAAATGAAATATTTCATCACCAACAGTTGGTACACATGTTTGTTTACATAACACCCCTCTCATCAGCTGTTCTTAAGTAGTAAACATAACCTATGTGAGTTTGTCAATTGTACGCACGTGGTTGCTATTGAAATTATCGTGTGAAGTTGATTTTTAAA